CTGCCCGTCGACGAAGACGTCGATGGTGTTCAAATGCGGACTCGAGCCGCGGTGCAGCGCGATCTCGTTCATGACCTGCCAATCTGAAACGCATGCGTGTGGTTAGACCTTGTGCGTGGCGCGTCCCTATGCGCGGGTTGTATACCTTCCGCTTGTGTATCGATGCGTTCGCCGCCTGAATCTTGGAATGTGCATGACAGGCGCATTCGGTGCAATACGGTAATGCGGCCCTCAAATGCGCTGTCAATTGCCTTCGTATAGTCATCGATGTCTTCGAGCAAGACAAATTCAGCATACTGGCAATGCCCGGCACAAACAAGTGTACTTACGGAACGGTAGCAAGAACCCGAGAGTGCCCATCGAGAAACTCAGAACTGGGGGCACAGCGCCCGTTTTAAACAGTGATGAAGCATGGAGAATAGTGCCATCCCCGCCCAATGTAATCACCAGGTCGATGGGTGCAGCATTCGGTCCTGACGCGCACAAAGTAAGTCTATGCATAGCGAACGTTGACTTACGATCCTACCTGGATGCCATACTGTCGCAGCTTCTGGTATATCTGGTCGGTCTTCATGGTATACCTGAACCTCCGGATATTTCTCGCCGATGTACCTTCATGGCTGAGTGAGCGCGTGGTAGGGCAGGAAGCTTCTAGCGGGCACTCACTTGAGCAAGGTGTCGATCGCGTCTACGACTGGCTTCGTCCGAAGCTTATTGACGATGAGCACAGATTTTGGCGAGATGCCATTGGCGACGCGTCTAGCTTATGGCATATTCAGTCCATCTATTTTATACACAAACGTCCGGCCGGCCGGACCTGGCAACTCAGAATGGGGTATGGGTAGATCCGTTCACGCGGGGGTAACGGTGCCTCGCCGAAACCTTGCAAATAGCGGGAGGAAGTATGCCTGCCCTTCCACTCGTCCCGTAAGACAGTGGAAGACGCGACTCGGCCCGCGAGAGAAGGTATAGCATGAGAAGATACGTACGTTGCGTTTCTCCGCTGGCTAGTCGATGGAGATGCGGCGACGCGTGCGCTTCCCCCGACTAGTGTTGGTGTACGAGGCGCAGGTCGAGCATGAATGAGACGGGCCGACAGCTGCGAAGTTGCTCTGAGGGGTGAACATAGCACAGGCAAGGTTCTTCGTAGCATGACTGGACCACAGCTCTCCCAGAAAGACGATAGTTGGCAGCAGCCAAGCAAAGACTTGCAAGGAGAGAGCGAGTACGAGTGGGAAGCTGAAGGATATCCTGCGGATGCAGCAAATATTTCCTCCAAGCGTCGACCAAGTTCAAGTTCAAGGCTAGAAACAGATTTATTCCGCGTGCGAGGGTGAATATGAGAGCGAGAGATGCGAGAAGGCAGGCAGAGGCTGGAGGAGGGAGGAGGAAGAGGTCGTGGCTCGAGGACAAACACTGTCGTCGGCTGCCATCCCATATAAGCGCCCATTGTACATCCTCCGAGGCTCGAGTCCACCGCCACGAAAACATACAGGCTCTCATCGCACCCGCAGAACACACTTCACAGCGAAACAACATTCAAACATATGCATACAACACATTTTAGATACTACAGAGCATCGTACACACCCTCCTCGCCGCCCTTCATGCATCCGCGTCGGCGAGCAGCCCAAACATCGACCCGCCCTTCGCCTTCCCCCTCGCAGGCGGCGCCGCCTGTACCGCGCCCTTCGCCCTCTTCTCCTTCTTGCTCTTCCTCTGCGGCAGCGCCGCGAACGCGTCCTCCAGCCCCTCCACACAAGCATCCCACACGCCCTCCTCCAGCTCCCCCGCCTGCGCCCCGTCCCCGCTCACCATCGCATGGAACCGCCCCCCCGAAAAGTGCCTCGCAGGACTCGGGATCGCGGGCGCGAGCAGCAGCACATGCGCGAGCCGCTCCGCCGCCCCCAGCGCCGCCTCGATCTGCGCGACAAGCTGGACGTGCCGCTCCAGGATCGGCACCTGCTCCCCTTCCGCCTCCACCTTCCCCTGCGCATGCTGTCCTCCTGGTCGGACACACGCGAGGAACGCACGCGCCTCCGCCCGCGTCCACCGCTCCTGCTGGCGCTCCTTCACCCCCGGGGCCTCCAGCGCGCGCAGGTGCATCCGGCGCACGACGAACCGCAGCGCGGCCACGCCCAGCACGCGCGCGTCCGGCAGCGCCGCGACAGCGGGGCCGTCCGACCCGAGTGCGCCCAGCAGCAGCCGTCGCCGCATGTCTTCGAGCCAAAGCGGCGGAGGGAGCGGGAGGCGCGTGCGTGAGTGCACAGGGCTCTCGAGCCCGATCCCGCTGAGCAGCTCAGGGAGCGGGGTGACTGCGACTTCCTCTGGGGCGAGACGCGTCCCGCGCCGCACGTATTCGGTGATGATTTTGAGCTCGGAGCTCGGAAGGGTCGACGGGACAGACGGGGGCGGGCTGTCGTCCGCGCTCTCCCCGTCCTCATCATCGCTGTCCAACTCCTTCAGTGCGCCCCGCAGCCGTGCGAGCGGGTCCACGTCGTCGTCTTCCTCCACCACGTCAATCAGCTCGTCCTCATCGTCGTCCTCATCCTCCTCCCCGTCGCCCTCTTCTCCCTCAGGCACTGGCGGACTCGGAAGCCCCACGCTCGCGTCGAGCACCGCGTACATCCACTCCCGGATCGGCCGCCCCACGCTGCGCTCGACACACTCCTTGTCCGGGTCCTCCAGAAACAGCCACGGCCACGCCGTCGCGCTCTGCACCGCGTCCAGTACATGCGGATTCATCCGCCCGCGCCTGTACGCCGCGACGTACGCCGCCCGCACAGCCGCATGCGAGTCCTCGGCCGCCTTCTTGGAGCTCTTCCCAAGCGGCACGTCCTCGGGCGTCGCGTCCCCAGAAACCAACGCCACGCGCCGCGAGAGCGACACGACCAGCGGACACGCCTCCGCGACGTGCAGCGGGCACGCCTCCGACACCCACGCCTCCCCGCCCTCCGCTTCCTCGTCCGGCGGGCGCGGAATCGCATACTGCAGCGTCGCCTCCACGACGCGCTCCACGACGGCCTCCCGCTCGCCCGGCCCGAACGTATCCAGCGGGCGCAGCAGCAGCGCGCCCACCGCCGCGTCGATGAGCTCCATCACGCTCCCGATCGGCTTCTTCGTCCGTTTCTTCTGCACCCCTAGGGCTAGCGGCCCGAATGCAGCTGCGAGCAGCCCGCTGAGCGTGCTCGCAGCGCGCGCGATGCGCTGCCCGAGCGTAAGCTGCCGCTCGAAGAAGAGCCGCTGCAGGTTCGCGCGGCGGGTGCTCGCGGCGGCCGCAACGTCCGAGGCACCGGTGAAGTCATTCCCGACGAGCGCGCCGAGGAGTGGGAGGAGCGAGGCGGGGATGTCGAGGTGTGCGGCGAGCGTCGCGGGGCTGTAGACTGTGAACGAGAGCGCGAGGCCTTGCGTGTCGTCTGGAGGGATGATGCCACGTCCAGCCTGCTGGTCGGCCACGGCGCGCTTTTTGCGCGCTTTTCCGGTACGCGCGGTCTTGAAGCCGCCGTCGTCCACGTCCGGTTCCGTGTCCAGCGAATACACGCTACCATCGCCATCCCCCGCGTTCGCCGCAGTCCAGACCATCTCGTCCAGCGGAATATACCCTAGGTAGCCCTCGGTGTTGAGCACAACAAAGTCCGAGTCTCGCCCTGCGACATACGCGTTCAGCCGTCCGGCTAGAGCGACGGCGTACGGATCGCCTTCCTCGTCCGCAATGTGGACATGCAGACGGCCTGCATGCGCCCCGGCTGCGAGCTCAAGCAGTGTGTCGACGCACACGCCATAGGAGAGCGGCGGCAGCATCGCCGTTTCGCGCAGGAAGCGCGGTGCTGCGCGGGCGGTGGCGGAGGTGCGGAAGAACAGCAGGGCGTTTTGTACGCGATTTTGTGTGTGGCGCGAAATGAGGGTCGGGAACTTGAGGGTAGGATAAGGGCCTGTTGAGAGTCAGCTGCTGTTCACTACTAGGGTCCCGCAAGACATAGGCGGAAGAAGACGCACATGCGGGGACAATGTCGTCCGCATGGACGTCCAGATCGAACACCTGCAATCCTCCTCACATCCGGGAGAAGCGCGAGTTCGCAAGGAGTAGCGACAGAGCCGTGGGGGCCTCGATTCTCCACCGAGGCGATATTAATGCATACACGTAATGAGGCGGATTCCTGCAATTTGCAGTGTTCCGTCAGTTCGCCTCTGGATGCCCTGGTATTTAAACTGTAAACGGAGGCGGCAAGCGGGATATTCAGCTTCCGCGGCAGGGCATTCCGCTGAGCATGTCCCCCACAGCGTAAAACACAGAGATATGCTGTACGGCTCGGAGGCAGAAGCACCGTGCAATAGCATATCGTGTTGTGTACTTCACGAGTTCGTCGTCGTAATAAACGATTTACCCGCTGCGTGGCTGCCTCCTCGTTATGCGCTACCCTTGCACACCACGCTCAGACCGTAGGACAACATAACGGAGTCGAGTTGTAACAATGGCCTTCGATACATCCTCCGCGGTGTGGTATCCAGAGACGGGGTGCTCGCGCGGACAGGCTCGGAGCCAGAATGCGGTTACTCACCATCGAAAACGAAGTGCAGGTGCAGGCCGACCTCTATCCACGCATGGACAACCTGTCTAACAAGCTGAGACAGCTGCGGATATTCGCCGCCGTAGACCCACGGCAGATCGGCGCAGTGGACGACTTCAAAGATGAACCTAAGTATACCAAAGCAAGTGCGTCGTAAGCGACGGGAGACCACTAAAGGGGACAAAACTGGAAGACTCACGACCAGCCGTCCACCACTACCGGAATTCGGCCCTCTCCGTCTGCATTCCGTCCGTTGGTGAGCGGGAGGTGCGAGAGAGGAAGCTGGAGGGTATTGGAGAGAGTGGACTTGTGTTCGCGGAGGTAGGTGGTGAGACCATGGACGCCCATTACAACTCTCTGCGACGACCTCGACGGAGTGAACAGTTTGCTGCTAGAACATCCAATTTCGTCTGCGGCTGCGGCAAAAGCCAATGACGACAGTGGGATTCGAACCCACGCCCTTTCGGACCAGATAGGTATCGATTGCACAGCTCTGTACACCTGATTCTGGCGCCTTAGACCGCTCGGCCATATCGCCATGATCGACTTCCGCGTTGAAGCTGGCACCCGCCAAACCCGTGTGGGTTCTTGTCAGTTTCCGTCATTCGCCTGCCACCAGTGCAGTCTCCTACCACCAGCATCTGCATATACGTACGCACAACGAAAACAGAGATCAGCGGGCAAACACACCAGAACGTGCTGCTGGTCGCAAGGACCGGCTCCTATCATGATCATAGCGGTAGGCCTTCAAGCTCACTCCAGGACTCCGAGTCGTTTACCGACCACTTCCGAGTCCTAGGAACATCAGGGTGTGAGGTGCTGGTGCCCGGTATACTTGTGCTTTGCAGATATCTCTCCCAGCGCGCGGCGGAAACTTGACTCTACCCAGGTTACGGCAAGCCGTCCGCGCACTAGTTTGACACCGCCCCTTGCACTGCTCAACCACACGCACCATCAACATGCCATATAAGACTTATCGTCGACATCTTGTGCAGCGCGCACTAACACCGTCTACCAGCATTCACCAACACCCCTCTCTTCGAGTGCCTTCTCTTGCACGCTCTCCCGAAGCGGCCCGCTTTATTTGCTCGCGGTTCCACTACATACCGGTGGCGACAGAGTCCTGGACGGTACGTTATCGGCTAGGCTACCGCCATACTCCTGTCTAGAGCTCTTGAAATATTACAGTGACCATATCGTAGCTTAATGTGGCTCTTAAACACGCGCACACAGACCCTGCGCTACTTCCCGTCCGATGGCGCCCGCCCTGTCTACGCCATCCTCTCGCACGTGTGGCGAGACGAGGAGGTCTCCTTCAACGACATCAAGGACCTCGAGCGTGCGCAAAAGCTGCGCGGGTTCGCCAAGGTTTCGCATGCGTGCGCCATTGCACTCCGCGACGGCTACGACTGGATATGGGTCGACACCTGCTGTATCGACAAGACGAGCTCCGCCGAGCTCTCCGAGGCGATCAACTCCATGTTCATCTGGTACCGCGACGCCGACGTCTGCTACGCGTGTCTCTACGACGCCTCTGTCGACAACAACCCTCGGTCCCCGTACTCTTCTTTCCGCGGCAGCCGCTGGTTCACGCGTGGATGGACCCTCCAGGAGCTCATCGCACCCCGCAGGCTCGTCTTCTACGCCCAGGACTGGCAGCAGATCGGGGCCAAAACGACACTTGCGGGTGCGATCGAGGAGCTGACACACATCGACCGCGCTGTACTCCTGCACGAGACACATCTTGACGACATTAGCGTCGCGAAACGCATGTCCTGGGCTACACAACGGGAGGCGACGCGCATCGAGGACCGTGCGTACTCGCTCATGGGCATATTCAACGTGAACATGCCGACGATCTACGGCGAGGGCGAAAAGGCGTTCATCCGCCTCCAGCACGAGATCATCCGGCAGTCTCCCGACCAGAGCATCTTCGCCTGGGGCGTCGTGCATGACCACGGCGTCCTCGAGCAGCACATATCCTCCTTCGCCGACGGCTACGAGTGGACGGTCGAAGACCGCGGCCTGCTCGCGTCCTCGCCCGACATGTTCGCCGACTCCGCAGGTATCGACGCGCTCACGCTCGACACGCTCGCCACGCGTCTCGGCCTCTCCATCGCCGTGCCCGAGCACGCGCCCACCAACTACGGCATCCGCATGCGCCTACCCCTTTACGCCCTCCCATCCAGCGCTCTCTGCTTCGCAGTCCTCGCGTGCGAACAAGACGGGGACCCGCTCGCGCTCCTCCTCCGCCGCACCGCGCGCCGCGACAACCGCTACTACGTCGGCGTGCACAGCATCTACCGTCCTCTCCGCGCGCCCTGGCAGCCGCATTTCCGCCTCTTCCGCCTCCCAGCCGACCCCGCTCGTCGCAAGGCATTTATCGACAAGCTCACCGTCACCGACCTCTACATCCACAGCCACAACGCGAACCCGCAGCGTGCCCGCCGCGAGCTAGAGCCCTGGCAACGACCCCTGCCCTGGTCCGACACCGCGCCCCGGCGATTCCGCTTCGTCTTCCAGGGCCCGCTCCTCACGCAGCTGCGCAACATCCACGGCTTCGAGGCACACATCCCGCACACCGACCCGCCCGAGTACGAGTGCACGCCCCGCTCGGCGTGGACGCGCTCCGCGCAAGACGGCTCCCTCACGCTCATCCTGCCGCCAGACGCAGGGCACGTCGTCGTCCTCTTCCGCAGTCCCGCCGGGGAGGCGTTCGCCATCGCCATCGGGGTCCAGCCCCCCAGAACAATATGGTCCCAGATCCTCATTCGCGAGAACGCAGCGGCCGACGACCCAACGTGGGCCGAACCCGCTCTGGAGCGCATCTGGAGAGCGTACGGCGAAGCTCCTGGAACCATGTCTGGGCCTGACCAGTGGCAGGCGGGTGCGCGGCGGTTCAGCAGCCCGGGGGGTAGGTGGGTGAACATCACGTTCACGCAGTGGGTCGCGGACTTTCAGGTTGACGGGGTGGCGGATACGAGAACGTTCGATGTCGATCTCGACCTGGGCGGTGCCTACGCCGACTCGAAGCCTGTCACGTCTCTACAGAGTGCACCGCAAGAGCCCCAGCTCGTGGACCTCATCATCACTGGACTCCAGTTTCTCATCAGAGCATACTACAATTCATGACAATCCCATTTGCACTTGACCAGCAATTCCCAGCGAGGGGGCATGAAACAGATGCATTCACGGACCGGCGGCATACACAGATACATAGGTCAGAAGTCGGAGAGATCATAGTAACAAGAAAGCGCGCACTATCGTAAAAAGGTAAACGTACAATCGTATTTGCTTGAGATGCGAGAGAGGTGAGCCGTGAGACGTAGCGTACGAGAGTCATGAGTCAGAATAATGAAACGAGAGAGAGAGAAAGAGAGCAAGCGAGAGATCTATCGTGGGGGGTTTCGCGCGGGCACCTGTGTGCCGGCTGGTAGCGGGGGTTGGCTCTTCGCCTGGTCTTGCTGCTGTTGCCACAGCAGTTCCGCCCACAGCGGGTTGGGCGGGATCCGGCCTATCATGACCCGCAGGACCTCCAACCTGACGACCGGAAAGGATTCTCAGTACTGACCCTCAACAAAAACCGAGTGAACTCACCACCGCTGCTTCTCCATGTCCGTATCCGCAAAGAACGTGATCTCCTGATCGGGCCCAGGACCAAACACAATCCGGAACGACCGCTCGACGCCGTACATCCTGTCGTCGTCGTAGTGGCTCCGCGCGGTGACGCCAGACGCCGGGCTCATCACCGGCGAGCCGTCGTCCTCGACAGCCATCGCCTTGCGCAAGTCAATGGTCGTAATCGCACGCTTCGTCACGTCGTTGAACGCGATCATGTTCGCGCCGATGATCCTAAAGTGTCGTCTTCGCCACGTCTACAAAACCGGTCAGCTCCTGCGCTCTTCGCACTCACACGGGCAAAAACCCGACTCACCGCACAGTCGCCCCCGCTCTGCGTCAACGTCCCCTGCTGGTACGTCGCCTTATGCCACCGCACATGGCTCAGCCCGCGATGGCACTCCTCCAAGCTCTGCGGCAGCTGGCCCGCCGGGATCCCCTGCAGCGGCGGCAGCCTGAATATCTGCAGCACGATCTCGCCCACCTGCATCGCCTTCGGCGCGCCCCCGCCCAGCTCGAGCCGCTGCCCGATGAGCGGGAACGCGGTCTCGAGCAGGCGCGTGTCGCAGTGCGGCGCGACGTCCTTGAACGAGATGAACGCGCGCGCCAGCGACCCGTCCGGCTTCAGGTACCGCGCCAGGTTCTCCTGCAGGCGGAACTGCGGCTGGGGCGGCGGGGGTGTGGGCGCGGGCGCTGGGGCGGGCGGGAGGATGGCCTTCGCTTTCTTCGGGGAGCCGAAGCCAAGGAAGCTGCGCATCCCGCCGCTCTTGTGCTGTGCGCCGCCTTTGGATGCGGGTGGGGGTAGTGGTTGTGGGGGTGGTCGAGCGACAGGAGGGGGCTGGTTCGCCTTGAATTGGGCGATGATGTGCGGGTCGCGGCGGACCTTGATGGTCAGCGTGAACTCGAGCTTGCTGTGCTCGATCCTGGAACACCCTAATGAGGGTCGAAGCCCACACGAACACGAAAGGCGCACTCACAGCTCGAACTCTTGATCAATGCGACACTCCTGGCCAAACGCAGCTTCCGGCGTAGTCACGAAGTGGATACCGTTATTGAGCGTGCAAGTCACGACGGTCGGCTGACTGGGCAGCGGCACTTGGAGATTTCTCAGGTTGGTCACTGCAGACGACCTCGCTCAGCATCCAGCTTCCTCTCTTGACTCATGACAGACCTACCTCGTACGAATACCTTCCCGTGCGCCTTGCCACCCGCCTGTGCGCGAAGCTCCTTGATCTGCTTCGCATACTCGTTCTACACCTCCATCAGCACACCACCCCCACGTCACAAGCAAAACACGCACCATATCCGACGGCCGCCGCACGCTCTTCCACGCCTTGCCGGCGTCCACATCGCCCGCGCCCTGCATGTGCGTAACCGGGTCCTTGTCCGCCGACGCGTAGATCGTCTCCGAGTGCTCCCTCACATGGTATTTCTGCTCCCGTACGAACAAACAACCATTAGCATCCCTTCCCCGCCACCCACACAAAGACCAAAGACACTCACGCTGCGTTTCGGCGCCTCTAGCCGCTTCAGCTCCCGGTTGATACTGTCCGCAAGCGGGTCGTCCGCCCCCCGCAGTGCCGTGATATCCAGCAGCCCCTCCTGGTGCAGCGCCGCGGCGCGCCGCTGCGACGCCCCCGGGGTCCGCGTCAATATATCCTCCGCGTCGCCCGTGCTCATACTTCTCCGCCGCGTCGGCCTCCCACTCGCTGCAGCCGCGGCCGGATGGAGCAAGTTCGGTATACTCGGGGAGCCGACCCCAATCGGCGGCATCGGCTTGCGCTGCAGGAGCGGCTCGTCCTCGAGGTCGCTGCCCTCCTCCAGCCTCCGCGCCTCGCGCTTCTTCGCCCGGATGAGCTCCTCGCGCGCACGAATCGCATCTCTCGCGGGCGGCGCCTCTTCCCTCTCCTTCCCCTTCCC